AAGATAGGGATTCTTGGAGATGTCTCATCCACAGGGTCGCCATGAGTCTGAACCAACTCAAGGGCAGCTAACAATAAACATTATTAGCTGGAAACGTCAGGACCTAGGACCATCCTGAATGGACAATCCTTACCCAAAGGTCATATAGTCCAGCCCTCTCTCAGCGCAGAAATCTACTGTCAAAGTAACCTCATGAGGTGGGCATCTAACCAGTTTAAAAACTTCTGATGAATGAGAATCTGCCACCTTCCAGTGTCCAACAGGTTCAGAAGAGAGTGACACTATTACTTCCCTTGATCTTTCTAGACACTATCCTTCTATTGATGCAGCCTAGAATCACATTGGCCTTCTTAGCTGCCGCATCACACAGTTGACTCATTTGAGTTCCAAAGAAAAAGGTTTGTGCTAAATGTTAGGAAGAATGTCTTTGCTTCAGGGCTGTTCGACAGTGGACTAGACAGCCTCGGAGGGTGGTGGACTCTCCTCCTTTGGAGGTCTTTCAACAGAAGTTGGATGGGCATCTCTCAGGACGGAGTGCTTTAGTTGTGTATTCTTTCATGGCAGGGGGTTTGACCAGATATCCTTAAGAGTCTTTGAATCTGTGATGACATCTTTTGCTGAAATCTACCAGGAAGAGATCCTGAGATCCTTCTCAAATGGATCTGGCCAAACTTCCAGTTCCCTTGCTTCCAGTGCCCTCAACAAATGAACTGAAGGGGGGGATGACAACCAGAGAGAGGGTCTTTTTAGGAGTGGCACCCAATTGTGGAACAATTTCTTCCCTCAAATATTTTTCTGCCCCATAGGAGCTTGGTGAGACAGTGGATCTGTTCTAGTTCTAATTAGAACTTGTTGGTGTGTGCCTTCAAGTCATTTCCGACTTATGGCAACCCTAAGGTGAACCTATCATTGGGTTTTCTTGGTAAGTTTCTTCAGAGGGTCTTTTTGCCATTGCTGTCTCTGAGGCTGAGAGAGTGTGACTTGTCTAAGGTCAGCCAGTGGGTTTGCATGGCTGAATCCTGGTCTCCAGAGTCATAGCCGAGTGCTCAAACTACTGTCTCTCTAGTGAGAACCTCAGGCTCTATCCAAAGTGGTGGCGACCCAATCTTGGGTTCAAGGTTCAGCACTGTGAATTGTTGGTGTGTGCCTTTCAAATCTTTTCCAACTTATGTTGACCCTAAGGTGGGATCTATCATAGGGTTTTCTCAGCAAGATTTGCTCAGAGAGGGTTTGCGTCTGCCTTCCTCTGAGGCTGAGAGAGTGTGACCTGCCCAAGACCACCCAGTGGCCAAACTGGGAATCATGACTGAACTGGGAATCAAACCTTGGTCTCCAGAGTTGCAGTCCAATACTCATCTTTGCCACTCTGGCTCCATGTCTGGCCATCAGCATGGAAATCAGAAGAAAAGTGGAGACTGGTGAAAGGACTACTAGTCCCATGATTCTCGCACTGTGAATGGGCCCTTTAAAAGTTGGACTGCAACCCAGAGCAGATTCAGCAGCTCCATGTACATTGGAGCCGCCATCTGTCACTACACCTGGCACCAGCTTTGTTCCCCCACCCCGTCTGGTAAAGACATTTCTGTCCAGCTGGACCCTTTTAATGTTTAAACTCAGGGCCTTTTTTTTGGAGAGCGATGAATTGTTTTGTTGCTATATAAAGGTATACACCAATTAACAAAGTAGATGTGGTCCCTGGCATAATTTATTTAACAGAAAATTTGGTACCAGATGCAGGAAGAACATCGAAAGAGCTGCTGCTGTGTGCCTTCAAGTCATTTCCAACTTACTGCAATCCACAAACAACCCTATCATGGGATTTCTTGGCAGAATTCATTCAGAGAGTGTTTCCCTTTGCCTTCCTCTGAGGCTGAGAGAGTGTGACATGCCCAAGATCACCATCAAGAATCCTAGTCCAACACTCAAACCACTACACCACACTGTCTATCCTGATAAGCCTTTTTTGGTGGCTTGTCGATAGGCTGTGTGTGTGTTGTTTGCCTTCAAGTCATTTCCAAGAAAAAGCCATCCTTTGATGCATTTTATAAGAAGCATTCAAGTGGTCTCTAGAAAGTTCAGAATGTTTTTTGCAACTTATACAGCGACCGCAAGGCCAACTTATCCCATGGGTTTCTTGGCATTTTTCTTTAGAGGAGTTTTGCCATTGCCTTCCTCTGAGGCTGAGAGCGTGTGACCTGCCCAAGGTTACCTGATGGGTTTCCATGGCTGAGCAGGGAATCAAACCCTGCTCTCCAGAATCATAGCCTAGCACTCAAACCACTTTGTCACTACACCACAAAAAAGAAGAGCAGGTCAATAAAACATTTCACTATTTGTTTTATTCAATGCTAGCAATACACATATAGGCAATGAAACTACCAGGTCAGGTAAGTCTTGTATAAATTTCAAAAAATATTCTGAACTTTCTAGGGACCGCTTGAATACTTCTTGCAAAATGCATCGAGGGATGGGTTTTTCTTGCCAGGGTCCACTTTTTTTAATGATTTCCATTTATACAGATCTATGCTTTTTAAAAAATGTTCTGGAAGCAGCTGGTGAGTCTGCATCCCCCTTTTCTCTCTGTTTTTTTTGTTCATGCATGCTCAGAAAGGATTTTTGAAGGCAGCAGCTGTTTACCTTGCCTGTTGCAGGAAGACACACACAGTTATAGTAGGATCAACTAGAGAAAAATCCCATTCTTTCCCAGGTCAAGTGTTATTGCTCTGTTTACTGCAGATACACTGCTGCAATCCAGTACCAAGTGTATGTTTCTTGGGTCACCTTTCACCATCCTCCCAATGCCATTGATGCTTAAAAAAAACTCCATCTAGAGGAAACAGGGGCTGAGTGGGAGTAAGCCTCATAGAATCCCAGGGTTGGAAGAGAGGACAGAATCTTGCCTTTCCCAGTGGTCTCAGGCAAAAGCAAACAACTGTGGCCTCTCCTAGCTTGTGCGCTCTTCCTCATTAATCACGTTTACAAAACTAAATAGCATTTGAATTGATTTGTTCCTGAGCAGTGGCATCCTGTGTGCAATTCTGCACCTGCAACCTTGAACTGAATGCAGACATTCAGCTTGGGACAGAAATGCCCATCTACTTCCATGAGGGAATTTAAGCATACGTAAGTTAGCAACAGGATTCCAGGAATATGTCCCTGGATCCATACTATAAGCATGTGCAATGGCAACATATGAGCAACTCTGCTTCTGCAAATGTGAGCTAAATGCAGATATTCGACATTGGACAGAAATGTCTATCTACTTCCATAAGGGAACTTACACATATATAAGTCACCAACAGGATCCCAACAATTCCACCTGGATGCATACTAAGTATGGGCAATGGCAACACATGTGCAACTCTGCTTCCACAACCATGAACTGAATGCAGACATTTAGCTTTGGACAGAAATGTCCATCTCCTTCCATAAGGGACTGTACACATGCATAAGTCACCAGCAGGATTCCAGCAATATGCACCTGGATGTGCACTAGGTATGGGCAATGGCAACACATGAGAAACTGCTTCCACAACTTTGAATTGAATGCAGACATTCAGCTTTGGACAGAAATGTCCATCTACTTCTATAACGGAACTTATACATACCTAAGTTAGCAACAGGATTCACGGAATATGCTCCTGGATGTACTTTAAGTATGGGCAATGGCAACACATGTGCAATTCTGCTTCTGCAAACCATTCTGGATTGGACAAAAATGTATAACTCCTTCTGCAGGAGAATTTAACACATGTGCAAGACATCCACAGGATTCTAGGCCTTGCTGTATTTCTTGAACCCACAGACTGTCCAGGAAATCTGCCAAGAGTGCTGATAGCAGCTTCTTGTGAGGGTGGAAGGCAAACAAAAGTTTTTTGCTAATGCAAAGCAAGAAAGCAATGGTCCGTATTGCCAATCCAAGGGTCCAGCCAGTGAATGGTCAAGCAGTCCGAAGGTCTAGGATCCCAGAGAAGCAGAGTGGCAAGGCAGTCCGAATGTCAAGTTCAAGATAAGTCAGCAGTCTGAGAGTCAAGGTTTCAGGCCAAGGAACAAGGAGAGCCAGAGGCTTTTGCTAGGAAACTCAGATAATCTCTGGCACCAAGGCAGACCTTCTGCACCTGCTTACATTACCAAGCTTCAGGAGCTCAGCTGAGGCTGATTGCTCTGGTGTTTTTCATAAAGTCTCCTCAAATGCCGAAGGCTCGCCCTTTCTACTCGACTCTGGGTGAAGGTAGGTATTGTCCCTTGATCCTCCTCCATGTCTGAAGGTTCTGCTGCTGGGGGGCTTGGCTGCGGAGCCTCCTGGGAGACCAGAGGCTCTGCTGGAGCTGGCAAAGCAGAGCTAGGGTTGGGCTGAGGCTCCACAGCTGCAGGCTCAGGTCCCAGAGGAGGTTCTGGCTCATCCTCCGAGTCTTCCTCCAGGCAGGGCATGACACTGACAATTCCAGTTTTCATTGAGAACTGCAATTCTCCATCCCACCTTACAATTGGGGCCAGCTGATTGACAACCAGAGTAAGTTTCAGGGCATCATGGTTTGCTGAAAAATGGGAAGAGGCATTTTTTAAACCCCAGTGAGCCACATTGACTGGCACAAAATACATTGCAATTTGTTGGGATGATCATTGTCCAAGCTATTTTTTGTCTGTAAACAACAACAACAACAACTACTACAAAGAATTTAAAAGATTGTGTACATTACATTGTAGGATGGCTGCCATCTAATTGAGCAATTAGGATTATGTAAACCAGACTTACACATTGTTACTGTTCCATATTTGTGTTTATGATTGTGGTGATAGCTACGATCATGGCAATAAAATGACCCAAATGCCACCCTATTGAGCAATTAGGATTGGATAAACCAGATTTACACATTGTAACTGTTCCATATTTGTATTTATGATTGTGGCAATAGCTACGATCATGGCAATAAAATGATCCTCCTGTATCTAATTTAGCAGCCAGCAGCTGCACTGAGCAATGCAGGTCTGTTCTATTGGAGATCAGGGCACTGAGAGATGATGTTTTTGGCCCACAGCAAGCTGTGATGCAACTATTAGAAACAGGAATCCTGTCCTAAACTCCTCATTGTGGTATAGGGTCCTGGTAGGAGTGGATTGAAGATAATCCTGCAATGCCTCAATCTCTACCAGAACAGACCTCTGTTGCTTGATCCGCTTGCTGTCTGTTAAGGTAAGTTTGAAGAGTTGGGTAAGGAGACAGCCCATAGTTATGTATTTGTAACTCAAGGCCTGAACAGACTGCCAGAAATCATCCATCTTGAGACTACTTTAATTGCTCTGAATCAGTGGTAGGGAATCATGGGAACTGTAGTTTATTGTGGCACTAGAGCTCTCTGACAGAGAAGGCTCAGTGTCTCAGAAAAAACTACAGTTCCCATGATTCCCTAGCACTGAGCCGGTTCCCTAGCACTGAGCCAGGACAGTCTCAAGCTGGATTATTTCTGGCAGTCTGTTCAGGCCCTAAGTAATGCAGGATCTCAGCCATTGTTGTTGTTATTATTATTATTATTGGTTGAATCTTCTATGGAACCAGAAGTATTTTTGATTTTGGGATATTTGCATAAACATAATGAGATATCTTGGAGATGAGATCCAAGTCTAAACATGACATCCATTTATGTTTTGTGTACACTTTATACACATAGCCTGAAGGTAATTTTATACATACTATTTTAAAATGATTCTGTGCATGAAACAAAGTTTGTGTACACAGTGCCATCAGAAAGCAGAGGTATCACTATCTCAGCCACCTATGTGGACAATTTTGGATTTTGAAGCATTTTGGATTTTGGACCTCTGGATAAAGGAGACTCAATCTGTATTCATTTGGGAAAAGTATCCTAACTTCCCCCAATAATGAAACTCAAGATGGTTTACAAACTATTAAACCAATACAGATTAAAAATCATGCAAAGACATCAGTAAAATATATGTAGAGAAATTATTTTAAACAGCAATCTATAATATTAAAACCATTTCATACAATTATTAAAAGGCAATATGAGTAACCTGCCAACAAGACATTAAAAGCTCAACACAGTCAGTTCTTAAAGAACTGATGGAGTAAGAAAGTTTTGACTTGTCAGCAGAAAGACAGAAAGAGAGAGCCATCTTAGCCTCTCTGGGGAGAGAGTTCAGAAATTTGGGAATAGCCACCAAGAAGGTCCTCTGTATAATTCTCTGTAGATTCTGCAATAAAATATTACTTGGGGTGAGCAAGGACTGAAATAGGGATGGGCAAAAGTAAAGACCTAGGAGGCCAATGTGACCATTAAGACTGTTTGTGTAGCCCTCAAATTTGGATAGAAATCTTCCTAAATTTCATTGTCATAGGCTATTAAATGTAACATTACAATTTTCTCCTCATTTTGAGAAAGTTGTCAAAAACTTGCAGTTTGGATGTTTCTGTGCGAAAAATGCATATAGGGTTTTTAAACTGAATTTTCTGTACAGGAAACAAGTTTCCAGTCCATAAAACAGTATTTTCCATGCAGAAAACACCATTTCTGCTCAGAAAACAAGTTAATAAAACAGCATATTCCATGTAGGAAAAAACATTTGTGCACATACACACACACACACACACAAAGTTTCCTATGCAGAAAACTGTTTTGTATGCAGAAAACAATATTTCTGTGCAGAAAACTAGTTTTGTATTCCAAAAAACTCAGCATTTTCATCACAGAAAATAACATTTCAAGTTTCCTCTTCAGAGAGCAGTTTTTTATGCACAGAAAACAAGAAAACAAGTTCTTCTATGCAAAAACAGCATTTTTCCACCCAGAAAACATTTCTCTGCAGAAAACTAGTGCCCTGTTCCAGGAAAACTGCTTTTTTTTTGGTATAGATAGCAAAATATCTGCGCAGAAAACAAGTTTCCTATGCAGAAAACAGCATGTTCATGCAAAACTAGTTTTCTACATAGAAAATGGCATTTTCTGTGGGAGTAAAATCTGTGCACATTTTTCATGCAGAACAAGTCCCCAACTGTAAAAATTCTTGCCCATCTATGATTTATCTTTTACCAGTTTTTGGACCATTTTCCTAATATTTTTGAATACTTTTCCATCTTTGCTTTCAGTTCCTCCAGATTCCCCCTGGCTGGCCTTTTCCTACTCTCTCAAAGTTAAATTCTGTTGGTGACATCTGGGAGTAGCAATGCACCTTTTTTATATATGGTGTAGGAATCCCCTATACTTTTAAATATATATTTAAAAAATACCAGAAATAGACTTTTGGCCACTTACATCTTTTGTTTTTGATTTCTCTTG